CAGGTCCTACCTGCAGCAGACATCAGAATCTCTATACATTGCGTTTTGGTATTTTCCTCAGGGAAGTTCTACAAGTCAAACCATATTTCAGTTTTCAATATTAAATAAACAAACGTCAAACACGTTTGATTACAAGAAAACAATCACGCAGAGCTGTAGGGCTTCAGCGATCAGAGCATGCCAAGTCGCAGACTAGCGCCATTTGGCTATGCAGCGTTCTGCGGCACCAAACTCGGTCTCTTGCTATGGATGCAGCCTATTGCTGAACTGACGCATCCAGCATTTGAAAGGTTTTTTCCTGCAGTTGCTGAACTTGCTGGTCACGGATGCAACCGCACCACAAGGTCTAGAAAATCAGATGGAATCTTCAGGAGTTTTTTAAAACCCTATTGCAGAGGAAACTTTTTCCTTGATAGTAGATCAGGGTTTCCCAACCTATGGGTTGGGACCCCAATATGGGTCGCCATTACATTTCAAAAGGGTTGCCAAGTGTCTCCCCAGTTGGCTCTGCTCTCCCTCCCCCCTGTTTTTGAATTGCCTTGGATCACCAAGTCTTCCTTAATTTTCCAGATGGGGACCCATTTTGACAAGGTTGGGAACCACTGTAGTAGATGGAAACATTGATTTTGAAAATGAAACTTGTCATATTTATAGAAGTATAAGGAAGTTGGAATTTGAGCAACTACTGCCTCGAGAAGTCGCATTCAGCTGACCATTTCTTTCCTATGTATTTCAGGAGAAGGAGGTTGGCCTCTCCCTACAGGACTAACTGCCTCACAAAATTGCTTTTGTACTTTTACTCTGAACGGTGGAATATCTTCATTTAGATCCACGCTATGCATGCAACAGCAATGGTTGAGGTGTTACTTTCGAGCGTGTCTAGTGCCACAGCAGCTGGTTTCAACTGACTGATCAATTTCTTTGGCCGTCAGGAAGTTTCTTGATCTTCAAGTTCTGCCCCTCATGATCACACTCAGTCCTAAAATAATGTACTCAATTTTTAACATGAGACTCCAGGCAGGTTCTGGGATTATTCCATTATATATCACCTGGCATTGGGGATTTTACAGATCCTTGGAATTGTTTGAACCTGGCTCCAGGCTGAAGATTACAAAAATACTTCCATAAATCTACAGACATTTCATCACAGCACCTGGCATAAGATCTTGTCTAAAGGAGATTTAGCCATCGTGATGCACATCCACACACAACCAAAGGATCTCCAATTCTCGGTCCAAATCACTTCTCATACTTTGCAGCTCTCTCTCAGTCAGGTAGCTCTTCACATAACCCTAACAGCTCATTTCCTAATGATGGGGTTTGTCTTACCAGTGCAACATAGTACTTTCCTGTTTTATTTCTTAACCCAAACCATCCCATCAGCTACAGGCCACTCATACATGAACTGGTTTCCCCTAATTCTCCAGTTAGCTCTCGCTGCATCATTGTGCACGTTACTCCAGCAATCTTGTGTTAACATAACTGCCTTTCCATGTAATTCATTGCAGGCCCCCACTCCCAGGCCATCAGTAACTGCATTATCTGCTTTGACTGCAGGGCTGAAGACTGTCTCAGGTGCTATTTGCAGGCTTGTGAAGTGTCTGAAGTCATCAGCTGCTGGAGGTGGAGGCAGGATATTCCCCATCTTCTCCTGATGAGACTAAGTGGAGTAGCCGTGGGATTTCCTCCTGCTGCTGCTGCTTCCTCCTCCTCCGGTATGGGTTAGCCTGCAGTGGGCAAGCGACAGATGAAGGCGGCGAAGGTGAAGGTCTTTGGCTCTGGTCCCTGGAAGGGTTCCCCAACTGTGACAGGACCCAAGGGTCTCAGTATGGCCAGTGCGGAGGGACTTGCATCTACAGAGGTCCATACCAGGACCCTGGTCCAGTGGTGGATTGCACGTGACGTGTAGAAGAGGCCTCGTGAGACTGCGACTGAATATTCCTTGCCCTCCTCTTCCATGTCGCTAGGGAAGGAAGGTGCTGTCCTCTGTTCTGGCAATGAGGATGGCAGTAGTGATAAGTCACATCTAAGGTGTGGGGACTCAAGCTCGTTGGAGACAAACAGGCCTTGGAGGTGGTATCCAGACTCCTGGGGAGAAGGGCAGAGCACCAGCGCATGTATCGATGCTGGAGGGGGTGCATTCTCCTGAGGAACCAGCAGATGGGGCTGAAGACTTGCTCAGTGCTGGACCAGAAATCGGAGCTAGCAGAGATGTGGCTGCTTGTGGTTTTCTCAGTGCCACAATGCCTGAAATTGGCCTGGGTGGCACTGGTTTCAGAGGTCTTGTGTCTCTAGCATGGAGAGATGGTGCCAAGGACTGTAAGTCTGCCTGTATAGACTGTTGGCTGGTGCCTGATTCCCCTCAACTGCACAGCCGCCCATCTGTATCAGTGCACATGACAATTTATTCTGCACATGTGTGTGAAAAGTACGGGGGAACACTCACCGGTGCAGGTATGAGGCACTCCGGAGGAACCTGGGAATGTGCTCCCTATCCCAGGAGCGCACGGGGCTGGAGCGCTGGCAGGAGGCATCTCAGAAGGGAGGTAGCCAATATCTCTGCATCAGAGCAGAGAGGCAACTCTTTTGGAAGGACACTGAACAGAGGTTGGTAGATGAACCGAGTGAGAGGGGCCCGGAGGGGAAATGTCTGAGCTGGGGTCTGAAGTGGGACAGTGGTTTCTCTGTGAGAAGTCGCGAGCAAATGTCCCAGTCTTTTGTGGCCCTGGCAGCGATTGTGATAAGCACACTTCTGTGGGATGTCCCTCAGCCAGGCAGCGAATGCGCTGCGGGTGAGTGACAGCTACTGGGAAGGTGTTTGGGCAGGATACGCACTGCTTAAACCCCAGAGAGCTAACCATAAGAGTGAGGGAAAAGCTCTGCAGCTGGAAAGGGCTGGAAGTGGGAAATAAAATGGTATTATAATCTAACAAAGAGGTTAAGGATTACTTTATTTTTCCCCAGTTTAACCCAGTATTTACCAGCATCCTGTTTTAAGCTACTTTTTAAAGTTAAAGCTTTGTATGCCACTGAAAGCACTGTCAGAATCACGTCAAAACAAATATCCCTAAACGCTAATGAGTGTTCAAGCAGCACATTTCTTACTTTGCCTGGCTGTAAACTGTGATCCTTACTGATGGGAACAGTCATCATTGTGAGCGTACTATGAAATCCATGGTTCCCAACATTTACCAGTAAACGTAAAGTCAAGTCTAAGGCTTCAAAGCCTAATCCTAAGACCCCTCCAGCTCAAGCTTTGGGATCCAACTCCCAGCTGAATGTGACACTCATCCTGTGAAAGAAGTCCAATTAATTCAGCTCATCAGGCCACTAAGTGAGTCCAATTCTGAAAAGCACCTACACACAGAGCTTTTGCTGGGATGTATTCAGAGTGGGAACTGCTGATGTCAACGTCTGAAGTAGGGATGTGAAAGACTAGTCGATCCCCCCCGCCCCTTGCTGCCTATCAGATAGAGGCAGCAAAGGGAGGGAGGGGGCGGGAAGAGGGGATATTTGGAAGTGGCAGTGCTGCAGTTGAGCCCAGGCTCAGCTGTGTGGCACGGTATGCGTGGAGTCCAGGGTGAGATTCTGCACTGGAGCCCAGGATCAGCTGGGGAGTCCCCAGCTGACCTCAGCTCCAAAATGGCATTTCAAAGCAGCAGTGCAGCATGGAGCCCGGGGTCAGCAGGGGACTCAGTTCCCCACTGACCCTGTGCTCCATACTGCGCTGCTGTTTGAAACGCCACTTTGGAGCTGAGGTCAGCTGGGGACTCTTGTACATTTCAAAGCAGGAACCCCCGTGCAGCCCAGAGTCAGCGGGACTTCCCGCTGGCCCTGGGCTGCACGCAGAATTCCACATTCCTCCTTTGAAATGTACAAGAGCCCCAGCTGGGGCTCTTGTACATTTTCAAAGGAGGAACGTCAAGTGCCTTTCAACTAGTCGATGGAATTTCCATCGATTACTTAACTAGTCAATTAACCGCTAGTTAACATCCTTAGTCTGAAGTAAATGTTCCTGCTTTTGCCTCCAGTTAGTTTCCGAGAGTCAGCCTCGCTAAATATTAGAGAGCTGGATTCCATTCTGGCTCCTGCATCACCAGCAGGATTTGTAACTAAGCTCCAACTACAGAACTTTTATTGTGAACTGTATGCAAGCTAGAAAGAGCCTGGCTTGGCGCACTGATCCTGGGGCACTTCCAGCACTGGCAGTTAGAAAAACTTCTCTGGTGGACAAAATAAGTAGATTTAACACAGCGTCAAGAGAAAAACTGTAGATCCCACAAGATGCTCTCTTCCCACACACACAGTCACTGGGGAACTTGGGTGGGCAGCGGTCTGTTACCATTCCCCTGAAAGCAGCCGTAGTGTCTGCTTTGGTCATAGAATTTCCAAGCAGAAGAGTTAAAGCGACAGAGTTCTTTTCATGGTCATAGTGCCCTGAGGCACTAGAGCAGTCTGCAGGCTTAGGAAGACAGAACTACATTCAGGCACATTTGAAAGGGTCTTTGCAACCAGAAAGTTTAAAGCTACAAACTTCTTGGTTTTGTTTAACAGCTTAATTTCTACTGCATTCAGTCCATAGACTTTGTTCAAGGAAAAGGGTGAGAGAGTCCACGCATTTCTCTTGCCCCGGTCTCACCTAATTCGAGGTGTTGAGAAATGACACAATAACCCTCCATGGCAACTTGCCTAATAAATAACCCCCACAGCTCGCTGGTGTGTGATTGGTAGTTAAAAGTTTGACTACGAAGAGGGAGATATCAGGCATGTTCCCATCACAGCTTTTCAAAAGAGGCCCCCTTCAAAACACCAACCCAGAAGAGGCAGAGCCGGGGTGAGACGGGTGTTGAATATGGTTTCTCAGTACCCCTTCACCAGCCCCTCGTGGGTGCTGCCCACACCGAGGAAAGTAACGGCATTAGAGGAGACTTTGTGGGCATCAAAGATGGTTTCCAGGCCAATGCCGGACAAGGTTCGCTGTGCCAAGGAAGGATAGTTACCCAGCTTCCTTCGCTCCTCCTGGTCTTGCAGCACAAGACGAAGCGACGGTCCCTCTGGCACAGTGACGTGGAGCTGGACAAAGGCCTTTTCGTGCTCTGCGAGGTCGGCATCAGACACAGCTATGGGATACAAGCAGGGGTACGCAAGCTCAGTGGGAGAGTCGAAGCAAGACTCCTCCATAAACAGCTGGAAACTCCTAAGCAGGTAAGAGAATCTAGACAGCTTGTCTGCAGCAGCTCCTGGATTTACAGGACTCCTATAGTTTGGGGGGGGGGGGGGGGGGGGGGCGCGAGGTTA